GCATTGCATTCCGGGACATGCCATATATCCGACAACTGTGGTAAACAGCCCGGAACACCTGCTTTATCATCCCCCTCACTAGGAATGCCACCCCACAGTTCTTTCTGCATCGTCTGGGGACTTGGCACATGCAGCTTGCCATTCATGATCAAGATTTGCAATCATTGTGAGCAGTAAGAGCTCACTCTGTGCCAAGCATGTTCTCTGAACCTATGCATGATGGGAACTCACTGAATGAGAATCTGGAGACTCAATAACTGTCCTCACACTCAGGAAGGGCAAAGAGCCTGCATAAAATACATTTAAGCCAATTTCGGGACTGAGTCTCGTGTCTCTACCAGCGACACTGACTGTGCATACATACATGCACACATACACTATGTGAACACAAATGGGATGCATCTTATGTACGAATTCTGAGCTTCATTCTTTCTCCCATTTGGAGCATCATGTGTTCTTGTCTCAGGTTCCATGATATGGGCTATCTACTGCCCTCCCCCGTTTTGGTATTGGTATCTGTGAATCATCCCAGGAACAGGCTCTGGGTGAATATGTACACCCAGAGTGTCCACCTGTTCACTGTGGTGTGGGTAGATATTGGTGATGTCTTTCTCCCCTAGGTCTCTGCTGACAAACTGGTGGTCCTTGGCCCTGGGCTGTTCAGCCAGCATTTTAACCTGGCCACCTTCAGTTAGCTGCTTTCTGTTTTATATTTTAATTTTTTTAGTTTTTTTGTGACAGGGTTTCTCTGTGTAGCCCTGGCTGTCCTGAAACTCGCTCTGTAGACCAGGCTGGTCTCGAACTCACAGAGATCCACCTGCCTGCCTCTCAAGTGCTGGGATTAAAGGCATGTGCCACCACCACCTGGCTATAAACTGGTTCCTTATAGGAAGGCCATATACCACACTCTGGAAGTAACACAGGTATAAGAATGGGATCTTGACCTTAAGAGCTGGGAGGAAGGGAGAACCATTAAACGTTAGCTCACACCATTGTGTTGCCAAGGTTGGCTTGGAGAAGACAGGGATACCATGGAGGTGGTGAATGCCAAAGACAGAGGGCCTGATTGGGAAAGGAGTTTGAGATGTACCAAGGTCACTAGAGAGTTTCTGATACTGCCAGCTGGACTGGGAATGGTGAGTGCTGTCTGGTGGGTGTTTCATGTGGAGAATGATCTGGATAGCTGTGCTCTTGGTTTCAAATGAGTGAGTTTATTAAGTGAATAGCAAGCAAAAGTAAAAGAACGAATAGCAAGTAGCATCAGCTAGACACAGATGCTAGACAGAAAAACGTCAGCCTATCAAGTGCTCATACTATCCAGCCAGCTGGAGTAGCCCAACTGGGAGAGCAAGCAGGCTGGGCGGTGGTGGTGCACACCTTGAATCCCAGCATTCGGGAGGCAGAGCCAGGCAGATCTCTGTGAGTTCGAGGCCAGCCTGGGCTACCGAGTAAGTTCCAGGAAAGGCGCAAAGCTACACAGAGAAACCCTCAAAAAAACAAAAACAACAACAACAAAAAAAAAAAGAGAAAGAAAGAAAGAAAGAGAAAAGAAATGTCATCAAATCACCAAAGAAATGCCTCCGGAAGTCTTGCTGACAGCATCAAAGAAGCCAGACTTCTTGATCAAGAGAAACTCTCATCTTTATGGACGAGCTTCTGCCCCTTCATCCCACCGGCAGCCATCTTTACCTCACAGGATAAACCATGTAACCTCTGTGGGAAATGGTTTTACTTCTAGCTGCTCTCAAGGGTGTGAGGTCTTTAATGCCCTCGGCTGTTTGCCGTTCTCCTTTGTCCCTGTCACAGTGTTAGGGGCCCAGCTTGCCCAGGACAGGGAGTTTTGGAAGACACTTGAAATCAGTATGTTTGAGTCTGAGGCAAGGGAGGCCCTTTCACTTCCAGAGCCAGCTCTCAGTAAGCTTAAGCAGCCCGTGACCATGGACCAGTGTAACTAACGTCTGTCACAGGGGAAATAGTGATGCTGCGGAACAGGCTGCCCCAGAGACGGGTGAGCTTTCTTTCTTCAAGCAGGGTCCTTCAAGGCCTAGAGGAGGCAGCCTGTTGCCTCCTCTCCTGGTTTGTAGACCCTGTATCTCCTCTCAGTCATTAGGCTCCCCACCACTTCCCTCCAACCCCTACCAGCCTGCCCTACTTGGCCAAGTGCCTAATTAGGCATGTAAATTGGCATTGGCCTTAAAATGAAGAATGCGTGACTACATCCAGATCTTCTCAGGGAAGACACAGCAAGAAGTCGGCTGTCTGAGACAAGCTACGGGAGGGTAGGGTAAAACTGCCAGAAGCTGCTGTGTATTAAGTAATAAAGCTGAGTTGAAACCCTCCTTTGGGAGAGAGCTGACCACTCCCTGATTCTACAGTGGACAGCTCGTATGCGGTGCCTGCCCCTATAGTCTATTGTTTCATTACCAGTCTCTCAGAAGCAGGCCCCTGTCACATAACAAAGCCAAGGACAGCTGTCCAGCTCTGAAAGACACCAGTGTTTAGGGAATGCAGGCCCCAGCAGGAGGAATCCCTGCGTTCACCCTGGCACATACCTCATTCGCCTGCTCCCATTCATGGACAGACTTTGCCTTTATTTGTGTCTTGGCAGAGAGCCAGGGTGCGAGCTGGCAAGACCTTCCCCAGCAGCCCGGGAGACTCGCTGGAGGACCGGCTGAAGCCCGTGCTGGAGTGGGCCCACGGCGTCGAGGGCCTCAAATCAAACAGCAAGCAACCAGGTGGGATGGATGGTACAGACAGCAGGAACTTAGAACCCAGGAGACACGGTATTCCCTTGCCATCTTTGAAGGTTCTGTTTTCTTTGCTCTGTCCTGCGATTTCTTGGCATCTACGGTGCTCACTGGAGAAGAATCAAGTCTCCTAAGCTGAGCTGAGTCACTGACCCTCACATATGACCCCCAGGCTAACCATGGGTGCACAACCGGCCTCCTGTAATCTTAGGACTCCTGCCTCCCCTTTTATGTCTTCATATTAATGGCATATATGAGCGTCGGCAAATGTCACTTTGCCGTCACAGGCTCCTTGTGTTTCTGTTTTCTGAGACAACAGTCTCACTACATAGTCCTGTCTGGTCTCAGACTGGGATTGGAATCATGTGTCACCTCATCTGGCTCCTCATGACTTTTGATGGGGATCTAATTTTCTTTCTTCGTATGTGTGAATGAGGAAGAGTCAGATTCAACCATGTCCACTGTGATTCAATAGATCCAATAAAACTAAAAACATTATTGAATGGGAGCCACAGAATGTAATTTACTTATTTTCTAGTAGTTTTATGCTAATATTTTAAAAACTTAGCATTTCAACATTTAATCTATATAAAACATTGAGATATTTCACTTTTCTCTAGTACTTTCCTAAGAAAATGATGTCTTTAGGTAAAAGTTAAACTGAAATTGATTAATGAACACATACTAATGTCCTAACTTGGCTAAGTAGATTCCAGGGTGCAAGTCAGTCCAAATTAACCAAATCAGTAGCATCACTTGACAATTTGGACTTGACCCTCAGTATCAAATCTTGTCCCTCCTGACATTTCAAATACTCAGTAGAGGCGGTGATGGTGGACACCTTTAATCCCAGCAGAGGCAGGTGAATATCTCTGAGTTCAAGGCCAGCCTGGTCTACAGAGTAAGTTTCAGTACAGTCAGGGCTACACAGAGAAACCCTGTCTTGAAAAGCAAAACAAAACAAAACAAAACAACAAAATACTCAGTAGCTCTATGCTCCCACTGGGCATTGTCCGGGGCATCACTGTAGGAACCTCAGAGTTCCAGCTATGGTCCAGCATGTGCTCTGGGCTACCTCTAGGAGGATGGATTCTCTTACACATTCAGATGTGTAAACCCCAGGAACATGAGTCTGTCCTGCTTCCTGGGTGAGAGGAGCTTTGAACTGGCTTCTGCTGTAGGTTCCCCTCTGGGGTTCTCTACACCCATCACTGTCCTCTGCTCTAGATGCAGCTGCATCCCAGACAAAGCATGGTCTTGTCCTAGGCCTGCCTTGTCTCTTAGACCTTCAGTCACATCGTCTGCTTCCCCCCACCAGAGAACAAAGGTCGAAGACGCACCACAAATGACTCTGCCGCTTCTGAGTACTGTCCCACACCCAAGCGCCTCAAGACAAACAGCTGCGGAGGGAAAGACCGAGGGGAGGATGACGAGAGCCGAGGTGATTTGGGTGCCGAAAGGTCTGGCCGTGCACGGTGCAGGACCAGGAGCAGCAGGTCCTCTGTGGGGTACAGAGGTGCACAGCTGCGTGGGAAAGGAGAGACTTCCCCACCTCCTCACACCTGTCCCTCTCTCCTCAACAGAGCGGATGGCTTCTGACGTCACCAACAACAAGGGCAATCTGGAAGGTACTGTCTCCTGACCCTCTCCCTTCAGGGGTGCCCCAGGCCTGCCTTAGCCTGGCTTTGACCATCTGCATGGGTTTAATCCAGAGCCCTGTGTATTGACCTAGATCAGGACCATTTCTGTTTCTTCTGTACTCGTTGCTACATTTTTTTTTTTTTTTTTTTGATCAAGTGGTGTGATTTGCTTCCATTCTTAACTGGGTCAGATGCAGCCACTGACCAGGGTGACTGGAGTGGGGGAGGAATGGAGGCTGGGGCATTTTGGCCAATACCTGAAAACTCCAGACCAACGGAACCTTGAACTTTCCACTCAGTAAGCACAGCTAACTTTTAGGTTAAAATGAGACACATTTTGTTATTGGCTCCTCTTCGAGCTAACTCTGGTATCCTTTCCCAAATTGGGTATTGCACTGGGATTCAGAAATCTTCCAAGAACAGACCTAATGGAGTTTGAATATGTGATGGATTCTTCATTCAAATTCTTGGTCCAGTGTGCCTTAATTTTCAAATATGTATCAAGTAGTTACTCATTATTGGGTTAGAAAACAGACCTGGATCTGTGGTACCCCAGAATAGCTGCAGTTTAGAGCAGTACCTACAATTAGAATTTATTTATTTATTTATTTATTTTGTGTGTGTGTGTGTGTGTGTGTGTGTGTGTGTGTGTATGTGTGTGTGTGTGTGGTTTTTCAAGATAGGGCTATCCTGGAACTCACTTTGTAGACCAGGTTGGCCTTGAACTCACAAAGATCTGCCTCCCTCTGCCTCCCAAGTGCTGGTATTAAGGACATGCATGACCCATCTAATTTTACAAACATTTGACCCATGGTCCTCCATGCATCCCAGGAGTCATCCACCATTTGATCCTTTCCACCAGTGAAACAGTATTGGCCATTTAAAGGTTTTGTCCTCTTGAATAGTGAATCAATTAAGAGCCAAGGCAGAGTGGCCTCCTAGCTAAAAAACCAAAAAAAAAAACAAAAACCAAAGTCTGGGACGGCAATCTGTGCTGTGTTTAGAGGGCATGGTTGCAGGCAGGCTCTGTATCTGCCACCAAGCCAGTCAGAATCACTACAGGGCCTCAATGTCTGAGATTTAATGTTTATCAAAGATGGAGATGCCAAACCCCAAACAACATTCAGTCTTATGTCTTTCTGCCTGGCCAGGCCTTGGCCTCCCTTGTGCTTCCTCTTGTTAGTTTGAACTTGTCTTTCCCGGACTATGAAGTGGGGATGGCACTTTAAACATTGTTGGGTCTATGGCCAACCATCTCGAACACACCATATCTCATCTGAAATGCGCCTGAAATGACTTAAACACTGGATGTGGTACACAGTCCTTACACATGGCTGGCCAGGGGCAGATACTCAGAGCTGTCCCGCGTAAGACTTCATCAGCAGATGTCAGGCCCTTGATTTCCATAACTCTGACACCCTGTCTTTCTCTTAGACCGCTGTTTGTCCTGCGGTAGGAAGAACCCTGTGTCCTTCCATCCCCTCTTTGAGGGTGGGCTCTGTCAGAGTTGCCGGGTGAGTCTTCCTGCCCCTTCCTCTTGTCACGTCCTTCCCCATCCAGGCCCCCAGCCCAGTTCCTGCTCCAGGCACTAGTGAACAGCTTCCCAGGGCACATTCACCCCCACTTCCTGTTTGGGGGACAGGTGCTGCAGCAGAGAAGGCCCTCCAATCACATGCACTGTCGCTGAAGAGCATGCCAGGCCACCGGCTAGGGCCCCAGCCAGCTTGCTAGCCAGGCCCGGCTGAGGTCAGGCCTGTGGTCTCACGTGCTTCTCTCTGGTGGTCAGGATCGCTTCCTGGAGCTCTTCTACATGTATGATGAGGACGGCTATCAGTCCTACTGCACCGTGTGCTGCGAGGGCCGGGAGCTGCTTCTCTGCAGCAACACCAGCTGCTGCAGGTGAGTGGGAGGCCGGACAAGAGGGCCTCAGATCCCCGGGGGACCTCACAGTTCCTGCAGTCTGTAGGCAGCGAAAACCAAACAGAAAAAGCACCCTGTCGATAGTCTGTGGAATCTGGTGCTCACGGGCATGAACTGCATTGATGCAGTCAGTGTGCCCGTGAGGTCAGCTCTGTGAGGTTTCTGTTGAAAGGCTCTAGACCTGAAGGGAGTGTGAAGGATCCATATTCAAGAAGGGGTTTGTTATCCTATATCTTAAAACACGTGGACGCCGGAGGCTGAGCATCAGGCAGGAGATCTAACTGGGCCTGCATGACAAATGTCTGCTAACCTTGGTGCCTGTTCTCTCTGGATACTCTGGTACAGGTGCTTCTGTGTGGAGTGTCTGGAGGTGCTGGTGGGGACAGGGACAGCGGAGGATGCCAAGCTGAAGGAACCCTGGAGCTGCTATATGTGCATCCCACAGCGCTGCCATGGTGTCCTCAGGCGCAGGAAGGATTGGAACATGCGCCTGCAAGACTTCTTCACGACTGATCCTGACCTC